CACTCACCCTTGGTACAGGCTTGAACACCCCCCCCCCTTTGTCATGCACACCCTGCAGCATGGCGCCGCCAGGCAGCAATTGCCCTGGCGCAGAGCTCCTTTGTCGTGGGCTCCGTGTACCTGAAGTCCGTGATCACAGACCTGGAGGAGGTGCACGGCGGGAGCAGCCACCCCGGCTTCAACCCGGTAGTGTTTGCCTTTGCCCGTGAGGCCACCGCAGCCCCCATCTTGCTGGGCCTCGCCCGATACAAGGGTGGGCTGGGTGGACGAGCACGGGGGAAAGGGGGGCGGTTCCCCTTGCTGGGCGGTAAATCCTGGCCGTGTCGCCCCCGCAGCGGGCTCTGGATCGCCGCCCAGCCCTCGCCGCAGCTCCATGCAGCGCCGCCACGAGACCGTGCACACATCTGGCTGGCTGCAACATGGCCCTCCCTCTCTCCATCACATTCCCCCATCTTCCTTCCCCCCCCCTTACTTCCCCAACAGGTACCCTGGTCCCGGCCCGCCGCGACCTCCCCCTCGTCGTCCTGCTCGGCGTCTGCCTCTTTGCCAGCCAGCTGCTCTACATGCTGGGTATCGACCTGTCTGGCGTGGTGGTGGCCACCTGCATCCAGCCCGCCATCCCTGTCTTCACCGCCCTGCTGGGCATCGCGCTACGCCAGGAGGCGGCCAACCCCCGCAAGCTGGCCGGCATCGGGCTCAGCGTCTTGGGCGCCACGGCCATGGTCTTCGGTGGCATGGCCGGCGCGGGCGGCGTGGCGCCCACTTCGCCCGCGGGCCTCGCCGCCGCGCACGCCATGCTGGTGGGCAACCTGTGCCTCGTCTTCAACACCGCCGCCATGGCCGTCTACTATGTCTATGCCAAGCAGCTGGTGGGCCGCTACCCCGCCATCTCCGTGGCAGCCTGGGCCTACACTGGCGGTGAGGGGGAGCCGCGGCGCACGGTCTAATGGGAAGGGGGGGGGTGGTCTGGGGTGCACGGCGTGCCGCTCTGCTTCTTGCATAGGGCACTGGTCAGAGGCTGGGCAGAGATGCATGTAGCCCCACGTGTGCCATGCCCTCGAGCGCTCGCCCTCAACCCCTGCTCCCCAACCCCGCACCCTCCACACACGAACCAACAGCCGCGGCCCTGATGGGGCTGGCCGCGCTCGTGAGCACTCCCGCGGCGGGCTGGAGCCTGCCCCCCGCCCTGCTGGGCCCACTCCTCTACTGGGTCCTGGTCTGCTCTGTGGCGGGGTACTTTGTGGTGGCCTGGGCCATGCAGACGCTGCCGGCCAGCCAGGTGGCCGCCTTCCAGTGCCTGCAGCCCTTCCTGGGTGCGCTGCTGGCAGCCTGCGTGCTGGGGGAGGCCCTCAGCGCCTGGGACGCCGGCGCACTGGGGGTGGTGGCGGGGCTCTTCCTGGTGTGCAGTGAGCGGGGCGACGCCGAGACGGCCGCGCTGGTGGCCCGGGTGCGGCGGGTGCTGCGCGCGCGCATGCGCACCGTGCCCTCCAGGACCTCCTTCCTCCTCCCCGTCTCGGAAACGGGGAAGCATGCGCAGTAGGCAGAGCGAAGGCCCGCACCCAGAAACGTACCAGCCCATCTCCATACAAACCTCGTCCTCGCTGTGAAAGCTACCCGGCCTTTTCATTCCCCTTCTTCCCTACCTGCACGCTCCCATACCCCTTGGCAGAACGCGTAGAGGGTGGTGCAGCCGCCCTGTGATGCTTTGCCAATAGAAGGGAATTCATCAGTGGCCTGGGAAGGTAGAGTCGATCTGCAGGCGGTAAGGGGTGCAGCCGTCTCTGTACCTCCTAAAGCCCCCTGAGCAAAAGGAAAGAACGCTATTCTTTCCTGTTTTCGAAATTCGGTGGACAAGTTGACCCTTGGCTCACGAGGGAAAGGCGATCGACAGGCCAACAAACTGCACGTTCAAAACTGGATAAAATCACCACGCCATTATGCAGGTCAGCTCAACTGCCCTGTCGCATAGACAAGCCCCCTTCGGGGCCGCCGCGGGGAAGGCCAAAGTGCAGTTCCGCCTGCCCAAGCGAGTGAGCTTCGGCCAAACCATCTCCATCGTTACATCCAGATCAGGATGGGAGCCGATCCCAGATCTGCACATGGACTGGTCCGAAGGGGACGAGTGGAAAGTGTCTGCCGAAGTCGCGCCCGGGTGAGGACCGGCGGGTGACAGTATTATGATGGAAGCCGCCCGCTGCTACTTGCAACCGGACCAGGCTCGGGAGTAACGATTCACTCACACCACATCTCCTTGCATCTTATCTGTACAGGGATGAGCTTGAGTACAAGTAAGTGTGGCCCTCACTGTGTTCATTAGGGTTATCATCTGCATGATGCTTGCACCACACATGTCTACACCACTCTTTACAGCTCCTTGTTGATACCGTGAGCACCAGGTACGTTGTGTTGGGCCCAAGTGGCATTGTGGAGTGGCAGACAGGGAGCAATCGGCGACTGGCAGTCGATGTCCCGGGCGGAGCTGCCGTGACCGTGGTGGATGAATGGCATGGACCGACACAGCAGGTGTCAGTGGAACTTCCAGAGGCTCTTCAAGGTGGGAGACGAGCATGGGCGCATGGGCATTCCTGTGCATGCTTGCATGGAAATATAAGAGGGTTACCCTACAGCTGTGCCAGCACAGATGCAGGCGGGAGGACCACAGGTGTATCAGCAAAGGAGTTGTATAAACTCACTGTAGCCTACCCCTCCCTATCTGGCACACGGTTACACCGTAGCAGCCACCAGCCCCTCTTATGACGCGGCGCCAGAGTCCAAGCGTGCACCCATTGGCTTCTTCGGCAAGCACCGTCTGCCCGCCAGCCTGCAGCGCAGCTTTGCTGGCACACAGGCTGCGAAGGCAGAGTCAGCGAGCAAGGACCTGTCCAAGAAGCAGCTCAAGTCTCTGCTGGAGGTGGGTTCCTTTGGGGGCAAAGGGAGCTCTGCAGGGTGTACTGGTCAATTCCCCCCTACACAGCACACTCTGATGTGCTGCTGCTGCCTCTGCTCTCCTTCCACAGAAGAAGGGACTGTCCACCGAAGGCCGGAAGATCGACTTGCTGGAGCGGCTGCGCAGCGCTGCCTGACCAGTGCAAACCCTGATGCTGCACGGACCCCTCTTTGCAGGCAGACATCATGCCCCTGCCCAAGCAAGATTGCCCAACAGTATGCCGCCACAGTACGGCCCTCAAATGTTTGCGAAACACCCTTCAGCGCCGTCCCCTGCCATGATTTCAGTACTGGTGTTCCACCCTCATACTCCTGATATTTGCAGCCTCTCTATCTACCAGCCCCTCGTGTAAGATTGTAAGCGATGATCCGATGGAGGTGTACTTGAGGTGTTATTCTCCTGAATGCCTGTAAAGTTATAAATAGGGATGCCCTGCCCGAGACCACAGGCCAGTGCACAGGCCTGGGTCCCGTCAAATCTCATCGGCCAGAATTTGTTGGCGCAGGTCCGACATCAGGGTGCACATGAAATGGATGTTGTGGATGGTCAAGAGTGTGCTCATCAGCGGCTCATTTGCCTTCTTGAGATGGTGCAGGTAGGCGAGTCTGAGGGGGAGAGGGTGGACAGGGAATATGGAGAGGTGTGGTTTGGCTGCTGCTCACCAGGTCATTAGGTGAGCAGCCTTTGGCACCCTCATATTACAGATGTGATTCCGCAACACCCACCCCCATTAAACCCTCCTCACGTGTGGGTTTTGCAGGTGTAGCAGGTGCAACCTTCAACCGGGGGGTGATGCGCATTCTTGAACTTGCCAGAGATCTGCATGCCGGACGAGGGGACGTGGCGCGACACCTTGCACTACATCACGAGGAGGCAGGGTCCATGATGGCAGGCATGCTGATGTGGAGGAGGAGATCAAGGGCCATTATTCCACACAGCCTCCTGCTGGGCCCATGCGGCGCCCCAGCGCTGGTGCGTCGGCCCTTCATCCCCATACATCACAAAATCCGGCGCCAGGGTCCAAACTGCCGCGCCAGACTCTGGCCCCACTCACCACTCGCACATTCCCCATCGGGGTCAGCATGGTCCCGTGCCGGCCCGCCCGTGTGGGGTAGCAGGAGTCAAAGGTGTCGCAGCCAAAGGGGACCAGCTGTGGGAGGGTGGCGGGGTCGGCGATGCCAAGGATGTGGCACGGCTTGTCGCGTGGCATCATGGGCATGACCTGCCGCAGCAGGCCCACCATGTCCTCCCTGCATCAGAGGGGTGTGGGCGGTGGTGGTCGGCGGGGCATGTTGGGCATGCAGCGACCCTCTGAGTGGCACAGAGTAGTAGGCCCAGCCAGGGAGAGTTCCACGCTGGCCTCTCGCGACGTCTCGGCCCCCACCGCACCCCTCACAATCTACCGTTGCACCTGTCCTTGCCCATGCTCCCCCCGACGGCAAACCCGTCAAAGGGGAGGGCGGAGAGGTACTCGACGGACCGCCGGCGCAGGTCGATGGACATGCCGCCGTGCACGATGCCGTACATGGCCTGGCGCCGCGGATCGGCCAGGTGGGTGCGCAGTGACCGCGCCATCCAGCGGTGGCTGCGCCCCAGGCTGGCCTCCAGGTCGGCGTCGGCGATGTGGTAGGGCGGCAGCTCGTCCAGGGGGAGGATGATGTCCGCGCCAAAGGCCTTCTGCGCCTCCACCGACGACTCGGGGGTGAGCAGCATGTGGGACCCGTCCCTGCGGCGGATGAGGAGGGGGGTACTTGGGTGGGTCCTCCACCCCACCATGCCTTGCTGTGTCTGGCGGTCAGGTTGGGTCACCGGCCAAGATCATGGCAGGGTAGATGCTAGGCTGCAGTTCCGATCCAGGTACACCAAGCAATGGGGCTCCAGGAGCCGACCCCAGACCCCCCCCCCTTCCTCCCACCCTCCCACCTGTAGCTGCAGAAGCGGACGCCCTCCTCCGTCACGCCCTTCATCAGGTTCCCCGTCTTGTGCTTGGAGGGCCCCTGACTGCGCTTCAGCTCGTTGACCTCTTCGTGCACCGTGCCGTAGGCCAGTGAGAAGACCTGGAACCCGCCGCTGTCGGTGATGAGCGGCCGGTCCCGACGGCCCATGAAGGCATGCAGGCCGCCGGCGCCGGCCACCACCTCGGGGCCGGGGTGCAGCAGGAGGTGGTAGGTGTTGCAGAACATGAGCTGCAGCCCCTCTGCATCGGCCCAAGCGCCGTCCACGGCCTTCAGCGCGGCGTTCGTGCCCACGGCCACGAAACCGGGCGTGTCGATGACGCCGTGGGGTGTATGGATCCTGCCCACCCGCGCTGCAGACTTCTTGGACCTGGGCGGGGGTTGGGCCGAGGGGGCAGGGGCTGGGTCGCGAGGGGGTGATGCCAGAGCCACAGCGTGCGGCTCGCAGGGCCAGGCGCCGTGAGTGCGGCGGTGCTGAGTCCCTGGCATGCCCCGTCCTGGACACCGGGGCTGCAGGGGGAGGCAGCGGCTCTGGAACTCCACCCAAAACCGCTCGCACAAAGCTTTCGGCCCCCAACACCCCACGCACTGGTGTATGAGCTCGAATCTGAAGTGGGGGGAGGGCTTGTAGGGAGGGAAGGAGGATGGGTCTGGCAGCGGGGGGGGTGGCAGGGGCGGGGGCTTCTCTTTCCTTTTCCTTTTCTTCTTGGCTGGGAGAGCCTGCGCGGGGTTGGCAAGGATGGCCGGTCAGGGATTGTGTCAGGGCGCTGTCCCGCAGCTCGGCAATCTACGTCTGTCAGTCTCCAAGCAAGAGCATGGCTTGAGCATTGGACGAACATGCCTGGGCCGTGGAGTCTGTAAACCCATTGCCATGGGAAACAAATCCGTCGCCGTCCACCGTCTGGCCGGAGGGCATCGCCTCCTCCTTGTCTGCGGCCATGCCCCGCGTCTTGGGTAGGTAAGGCCTGCACCGGAGCACGTTGCTGCACGGTGCCAGGCGGTATGTGGCAAGGCAGGATGGACAGCCAGGCAATTGAACGAGCAGTCGGCCCAGCATCCAAGGCCAGGTGGTTGGGAAGACCCCTGCACCAGAGGGAGGTTCGAAGCGCAATTGCAATACTAAAACATGGGACGCTATATGATCATTCCGTGTGATGCATTGAACAACTACCCCTCGAGTCTGCGCGCGTGCAACGTCCCCTTCGGAAAGGAGGGGGGGAGTGCTGTATTACATGTTCCGCTCCCCGGGACAAGTCGCAACTCCGCCTTCTGCCGGCATCCCCCCCTCAAACGTTGTTAAAGACGCCTTAAATATAACTTTAAATGCTTGTTTGCGGTGCGAGACCCCCTCGTTCGGTCGACAGGTTTTCGAACTTTGCAGGGCCTTGCCATGCGCCGTCGGGGTGCGAACGCGCCCCGCAAGGCAGATTGTTGTGTTGAAATATCATTGGAATGGTAGAGTATCGAGTGCAACGGCGACGAAGCACTGTTTGCACCTGATGGCCGTGCCCGGGGACTCCGTCCGTCGAGGCCTGAGGTGGCCAAGGGAGGGGATGGGATGGGAGGGCGGTCCCCTCCTCGCCCTTGCCCGTCCGAAGGCACTGCCGCCCCCCACATGCTCTGCCTGCCTGGTTGCTAAGCTGACCGCTTGCAAACATGGGATCCACACCAGGTGCAAGCTTATCATGGCCCTCATATGCTTGCCGAAACAGTCTGCTGCCTCTTGCCGCCTTTCCTCTCAAGATGGGAGCGGATGCGGCGTGCTCTGGCCTTGATGCGCCGCTCGTACGGGATGATATCAGCCGATCAAGCGGGCAACACAGGCGGATCAGCTTCCAAAATGTACTTGTAGAGTGCATCGCGCTCCTACTGCGCTCCCTGCTCTATAATTGATAATCTGTGCCGACAGCCGGGTGTATTTCTCGTCGACCTCTGGATCGCCCTTAGGTGAAGGGGCCGGGTTGCTTGGGATGCTGAGCAGCGATGCAGGTGCGCCGCTGCTACTGTCCACAGGGTGTGGTTCGGTGGCACTGTCCAGTCCTTCAAATGAGGTATGCTTGGAATAGTAGGCCTTCCCAGGGATGGATGGTCTGCTCAGGCAGGGCCTCAAGCTGCACATCCTTGACCTTCCAACCCTTTTCTGGGGAGTCAATCTGGTGACCATCATCGTCCCTACCTGTGCATTGCACGGCTTCTCACGGAAAAGCCGTTTGCATGATTTGTAAGAGGTCCAACGAAGGCGGAGGGAGCATTCTCCAGGGTGTTGGGGAGACCACCAGCACATGTTGATCCGAGTGTCCAAGGAGGCAGCCTGCTCTCTCTGCCAAGAGGGGCGCGGGGAGACCTTTTCCAACGTCGACCATGGATTTGTACTCTCACATCCACAGGGGTGGGACGATCCAGCGTAGAAGGCTGGGTCAGGAGGAGTTTGCTCTGCATGACGCACAAATACAATGAAGGGTAGAAGTCCCTCAGTCCCAGGGCCATGTATCTGCTCCCCAACGCAATGGATGACCGGTTTCCTTGAAAGACACTCAAAGTGGAGCTGGAGAAGGTCACGATGCTTGGGGGAAGCTGTTGAGGCAGCTGGGAAATGCGCATGGAGAATGGAAGGATGGACGCTCGGCGTGCTGTGCACGACGCCCAGTGTCCCGTTGCAGCAAGCGATCCCTGCTCACAGGCCTTGGTAACAGTGCCGAAATCCTTGAAGAATCAGTCCTGATGAAGATTGCCTCTTGCAAAGCGTGTGTTGTACGAATCCAGCACACAGATGAGCACCAGCCCTGCAAGAGGCAGGGTGTGTGTCACACCCTCAAATGCCAGAGGGCCTCAGAGCACAGGCCGCTGCATCCCCCTCCAGGCTAAAACAAATCAGGTTGGCAGGTGCCAGGGAGAACTTGCCTGCAAGGCAAGTGACCGATACAAACATACCCGCGAGGAGCAGATGACAACCCTGCTCAGATACATCCTCGCCTACCTAGTGAGAGTGGTAGACTGAGAAACATAGCACAGATGGTGACATGGCTCAGGCCATGCTCCTTGTGCAGCCATATGTACCCAGCTCTAGTTCCTGGACCCAATCTGTGGCAGCAGGTGAGGAAGGGTATCATGTTCCGGTCAAGATCAATTATGGTCTAAGACCCATGCTCCAGTCTGCAAGCAACACCGGCACACTCCAACTACATGCTCACTTCTTCACTGCACCTATGGCACGACCACAAGTAGAAACAGGGGAACTGCAGCCTCTCCGTGGCTGAGTGGAGCGCCACCCTGTCAAAGCAAAGTCTTGCAACTGCACAGGGCGAGGGTTCACGTGTTCATGTGACATTCCCAGCTGTAACTGTGATTGTGTGAGGGGCAGACATGGCAGGCTCTTCTTTACTGAAAAATTGAGGAGTCTCCTCTCTTGCCCTATGTTTGCTCAGGTCAATGGTTCCGATAGGGGTACACCCATGTCAACACCACAACCTAGCCACGGCTCCTCAGCCTCACCTCTTCTAGCGAGCGCGCCATGCTGGGAACCTCTCTCAACTCATCACCAATGACATGGAACAGGTGGGGGAAGTGAGCAACTCGCAGACGCTGCAGCGACACCTTGTTTGCAGGACCATCGATCTGAAAGTGCGTGTATGTTGGGGAAGGGGGAGTCATAGGATACCTCGGCCTGGCCGGGAGCAGATCATGCCTAGAATCTCATTGGCCAGGCATCCACAACCCCACAGCTGTGCCAGAGAGGCGCGTACCCTGCCAACCCTGATGCCCAGCGGCTTCAATTCTCGAGCCAGATCCTCCCAGACTGGGGCCAGGGCCTTGCATGGTCCACACCCTGTTTAGAAGGATGCGAGGGGCTCGTCAAGATGATCATGTGCCCCGCCCACCCGGGTGACACATCAAAGAGCAGACCCTCATGTTGGTACGCAACCTCTGGAGGCTCACAGGGGGCATACACGTCGATCATCCATGGGGAGGTGCCATCCACGTATCGGTCGAAGTTCAGGTCTGTCAGCTCCTGAACCTCAGATGCGCTGGATTCCACCACGCTCCCACCCAAAAATGATAGGAGAAGAAATGTGCCTATCAATCCGAAGGTGGCATGCCCTGCCATAGACACTACGGTGTGCGAGCCCCGTCCACGGGAAGAGTGCCGGAAACTGGTGCACGAAAGATCCTAGAGTGGTCTATTTTTTTCGAGTGCGGGTATTTCGTTGTGCATATCAGCCGTTGCTGATCGGTGGTGCCCTGGTGAATGAATCTGGGGGGGGGGCGCCCGTATTTCAACAGAATTCTCGACTGCAGAAATATTTTCGACGATGGACACCTTCCGCACGTGGGTGTCGAATATGCTTCATTCGCATGCAACCACCGGCCGAGAGAAGCTCTCCTGGAACAAACAACCGAGGTTGCAAGCATCGAGTAGTGCCCAGGTGGTCTTGTCTGTGAATAGACAGGGGACGGTAGCTCTCAAGGGTTATTGGGTCGAGTGACATCCCTCGCGGTCCCTCCAGTGCACGGCTAAGGCAGTACATGCCTGCCGTTGCGGCTTGACCCTGTGATCTTCTTCTGGGTCCATCACTCGGGCTAGGAGGATCCTGCTGTTTCACATGAGATCAGCCCAGAGCACCACCCTGGCCGAGTTCCGGAGGGACCAGGTTGCCTCCATGGTGGGGCAGCAGCAGGCCAAGCAGGATGGGGCCCCCCCGGCCATCAACAGGGTCCACTCCGCCCCGCGCCTGTCCCAAGGGGAGGACGCCCTGCCCAAGATCGTGGTCGGCATCTGCGCCATGGACAAGAAGGCCAGGTCCAAGCAGATGGCCAACATAATGAAGCGCCTGTCCCGCTACGGCGAGTTTGAGGTCGTGGTCTTCGGGGACGACACCATCCTGAACGCGCCGGTGGAGGACTGGCCCGTGGTGGGGTGCCTCCTGGCGTGGCACTCAAAGGGCTTCCCCCTCAAGAAGGTGCGTGGGGTTGTTGTGTCGCGGCCAGGTCGCATGGCGAGACGATGGGCGAGGCATGCGTGACGAGACTCGGCCAAGTGCTGGTATGCAGCGGCCTGCCGGGAGCCGACCCCGCCACCGTACCTCGCATTCCACAGGCCCAGCAGTATGTGGTCCTGCGCCGGCCCTACCTCGTGAACGACGTGTTTGCCCAGGACCTGCTGCTCGACCGCCGACTGGTCTATCGCAAGCTGGTGGTGGGTAGGGGGGTGGGTGGGAGGACCATCCCTCGCTGGGGCCCTGGCATACGCTGGCCGTAGGGTGAGGAGCTGGCTTTGGGCGGGCCAACACATGTCGGCGCGGGCAATCGCCCATCCGGTGAAAAATTGGAATGCTGGCCCGATCAAGCATGTGCCGCTGGTCCATGCAGGAGAGCGGCATTCCTGTGCCGCGGCACATCATCGTGGACAGGGACCATCTGGAGTCAGGCCAGGACCCAGGTACTGTATTGAGCATAGGGATATGGCAGGGCTTGCAGGTGGGAGGTGCATGGGTTCGATCAGATGTTGAGAGTGGATCAGACCGATCTCCATGGGAGGCTGCGCTTGGGCCCAGCGCGCACCCAGAGACATGCCCTCTGGCACCTGATTCACAGAGGGGTTTGTGGAGACGGAAGACTATGTGGAACTGAAGGGGGAGCGCATCTGCAAGCCATTCGTGGAGAAGCCCGCCAGCGGTGAGGGGCCGGGTGCTGGAATGCCCGCCGTCTCGCGGAGCAGGGGGTGCCTGCTCTGACTGGGCCGGAGCGTCGAGGCTCTGCCAGGTCACCTTCCCGGGTATGCGCTTGACCGCCCCGCCTCTGCTCTTCATGCAAAACAGGGGATGATCACAACATCTACATCTACTACCCCTTCTCCATGGGGGGTGGTGTGAAGAGGCTCTTCCGCAAGGTGGGTGGGCGGAGGGGCGGCCGCCTGGGTCTGGGGCAGCGATTCCATGCTCCAGGAGGGTTTGGTACTCGTGTGCACGGCGGCGGGGGTGCCGGCGCGCACCACCCGTCACGGTCCCCGTCACCTTGAATCCTGACATCCCACGCATGCAGGTGAACAACCGTAGCGCAGACTACGACGCGACCCACCCGGGCACCGTCAGGTGGGTGCGGTGGGGCGGGGCGGGGCGCACATGACCCCGGGTCGGGTCCCTGGCCCCCCTGGGGGCCGCTCAGTGCTCACTGCAACGCGCGCTGTGGCCCGCTGTGCAGGCGGGATGCGTCCTACATCTACGAGGACTTCCTGACCACCGGTGGGACGGACGTCAAGGTGTACACCATCGGCCCACGCTACGCGCATGCGGGTGCGGCGGGGCCTGGGAGGTGCATGGCGGCGACCTCTTTGCCCAGCGTGCACGCGGCCGCGTGGACCGACAGAGGCTTCGTCTGCGCCCTGGGCTTGGGGGACTCGGGTTTCGATGTCTCACACCCCCCCTTCCACCCCCCCCCACACACAGAGGCCCGTAAGTCCCCGGTGGTGGACGGCAAGGTGCAGCGTGCCGCGGACGGCAAGGAGCTGCGCTTCCCCGTGCTTCTCAGCCCCCAGGTGCGAACGGCTGGGCGGGGCGGCTGTGGGCGAGGTCATCGCCGAAGTCTCTGGGGGTCATGGGATGGTGAGACCAGCGGAGTGCAGGAGCCTGCTGGCAGGCGAGGGGCCCGGCCATCCCTGCCGCGCACCCCCGGCGCCCCCGGCACCCCTCCAGACCCAGCCAAACACTCTCCCACCACCCCCACGCCCCATCCATCTCGCAGGAGAAGGAGACGGCCAGAATGGTGTCCCTGGCCTTCGGCCAGCGCATCTGCGGCTTTGACCTCCTGCGTTCCGAGCGCGGCAAGTCGTACGTCTGCGACGTGAACGGCTGGAGCTTCGTGAAGAACAGCACCAAGGTGTGTGTTTTTT